AAACATGGTTTTGGGATTCCTTCTAAATTTTGCCAGACTTCGCAATTTTCCTGTTCCTGTGCTGTAATAGCATCAATATTTAAAGAAATCTTTTCTCTTTAAGAAATACAGCCAAAAAGGGACAAATGCAGAACTTACAGTCTCTTCAGCTTTGGGTTTTTTCATCCTCCTCAAGAGTGCATTTGATACCACAGRTCTTGTATATCTTGCTACCACTGAAATATCATGGATTACCCACTTCCATTTTGTCAAGGCTTGTGTGCTGGCAAGTGTGCTTGTAACATCTTGCTTTTAGTCACTTTACACCTTTCTGACCCAGGGGTAAGGAAACACCTTGGAGGTAGGATACATTTTCATCGCCTCAGCACCACATTTTACCGTGTTTCCAGGGGACATCACATCCTCAGAGGGGGAATGTCTGTTTCTACCACATGGTGCTATCTCATGTGGTCTTAGTCAAGGTAGGAGGGAAGCCAAAGTGTTTGTTTTTAAAATATATCAGTATGTGAGATTTGCAAACCAGTTCTTAGTTGTAATAATACAGTGAATTTGGTTTCTCTGTTCAGTGTTTGATTTYGGAAAGTTGCATTCTTAACCACCTGATACATCAGCTACTCTGATACTCTGCAGGAAGTTGCCACCTGCAAAGTCTTTACTGATATGTGTACTTAATTTATAGAAACTGGGGGTCTTCCACTCRCTGTAAAAATGCAAAAATTCATCTGCCTTTTTCATTTTTCAATCAGAGACTCTCAACATGAATGAGAAGAGGTGGAGATGTTCATGTATGCTCATTAGGCCTGTGTTTGCTGCAATTATATGTGTAGTCCATGAGAAACAACTGTTTAAAAATGTCCTAGTTTTTAAATATGAGGTTCATCTTCATCTCCTTGATGACCTTTCATTGTTTTGTTCTTTTTCTGTGTGCCCATGTGACTAGAAGTCTTCTCTGGTCTTTAGATCACAGTCTCTTCTGGATAGAAATGATTCCTCAAGAGAACACTGCATGAGACATGCTTTAATTTTAATGTACTTTTAATAARAAAAAAAAAAAAAAAAAGAGAAAGGATTTTGTTTGAAATATCTAGGAAGCAGGTTTTTTAGCTGCATTTCCCTAAGAAAATAAGGGCTATATGATTATGCAGTCTTTTTTTTTTAACCTGCTGATTTTTAGCTACCTTCAGCCAAATTTGACAGAAGAATAATGACTGATCCATAACAGGGTTTCTCTCTTCTAYTCAATTGCTGGTTGGAAGTTCAGGATAACTTTGTCAGTGGGCATTACTGTTTGGTAGAAGGCAGCTGTGTAACAGGGTATCACTACTGTCCAAATGATGGACCGAAAAAGTTATGTAGAGTGAGCTGGAGATAGTGTACAAGAAAGCTGTAAAGGATATAGGTGGAATCCACTCATTTTGTGTGGACATTGGAAGGAATATGAGCTTGGGAGTGAGAGAGAGAGGCTGCTACAGAATAACTTGGTTTTTACACTGTTTTTAAAGAGATTCTTTTGCCTATGGAATTACAAACATTTTAATGTGARTATTACTTTTTGTTTGGTTGGTTGATTGGTTGGGTTTGGTTTTCTTGTTTTGTATAGGAAAATACTGCATCCAGTACCAGAACTGCAAATTTAAAATCTATCAAGGCCAGTACAGCCATGGTGAAGGGCTTCAATCATTTCTYTCCATTACTCTTTTTATGCTACATTTAAAGTGATGACATTAAGCCTTGAAGGAGTTTTAACTTATCATATTAAAGTCTACACCTTTCATTAGTTTCTAATGTTGTGAACACTAACTTATCCCTGGCAATTTTGGGGAGAGTAGTGAAGATTAAAAGAGGTGGGACTTGAATTAAGGGGATGTTGGAAAGACACTGGCTCCAAAACCACCTCCAATAGTTTCAAACTCATTCACTTTTGTGGTCAAACATTCATTCAGTGGCATTTCACASTTGGGAAAAAATATTTTAAGGGATGTTAACAAAGTCAGAGAAGTGAGTCTGATTTTCAACTCTTAGAATAATTTCACTAATTTGTCTTTAGAAAAATATCCCATTTAATAGGGGGATACACATTGTTTAAGATACACATTGTTTAATTAAGTACTTCAAAACAGAAGAGTTCATAAAAGCAAAATATAAAAATAAAACACAGAAATTCTGTCATGCAAAAGAAAATGGGATGTGAAAAAATATTTATCTTTATTCTTGCATTATGTTCTGTGCTTTCCATCTTTTGGCCTACCTCTCAAAAGTACAGTGAGCTGCATTCTTCTCTTCCATGCTTCCATACAGATTATAATTTCCCTTTTCTCACCTTTTATACCATCAACATCATCTCACCTTTTATACCTTCAACATCATTTAGGTTTCTTTTATTTCCCATTCTCAAAATTATTTTCAATTATCCTTTATTGTTTTCCTAGCCTATCCTTCCTTTTCTCAGCCTGAATGTTTCTTCCTCATCTGTCTCAGCCACTTCACTAAGCCTTCAAGAGCCTTACCATCCCCAAAGACCTTTGTCCCTTGCAAAGAACTGTACCCAGATACTGCAATTTCCCTGTATGTTGCCTTTAGTTGTTCTGTGAAGCAGAAAGATTACTTCAGGTCTCCACTAATCAAATGGTAAATGGATGACATGAGCAAAATGTGAAAAGCTCATTGGTAACCTCTGGAGAAGTATTGCATTCAAAGTTGACAAATTGCAGGGGATTTAAGGAGTGCATGATAGGGCAAGCAAATGGCCTTGCTTTCAGCAAAGTTATTCATCAGAACATTTTCCTTCCTCTCAGGAAGGCAGGTTATTTAGACAATAATTATGAGTATTGTATATTTGCRCAATTGTACAGAGTTATTTGCTATGCATGAGGAATGCTGTGCTGAGGTAGCYGGTTAATCAAGAGTTAACCTCAGTTCTGGCATTTCTGGAGCGAGCATCTTCATTTACTCCCCTTTCCCCTGAAACAGTRTGTTAACATTTTTCATTACAGGATCATGTGTGCTTTATTTCACAGCATTCCTGCTCCACACACAGTATCCAGAGAACAGCCAATCAATATATTTTTTTATCTTCTTTGTTCATTATGTGTGCCAATCCCTTGTTTACTGGATACTGTTCAAACCTTTCCCTGAAAACAGAATTTTGACAACCATCATGGGGATTTTCTCTACTATTCAATGTTATAGGAACCAAAGATGTAATCAACAATGATTTAATATATTCTTGCAGTAGGGTTTTCTTCATATTTCGTTAGGAAAACAAGGCATGAAAAAAAGGTTCAAAAGTACCCACAAATTTTATATCCCAATTTAAGATGTACAAGATTTACATTTTACAATATTTATCATTCATAAATTCCTAACACTTAAGGCCAAGCCCAAAAGGTATTTTTATGTAATTTAGTTGGCCTTCTGAATATCACAGGTCATTGATTTCACCAGCTGTCCCTCAGCTAGTGAAAATTTCTTGAGCCTAGAAATTTATGGCATTTTAAAACTTTCTTTCCAGAAAGGTATCTAGGCCTGGTGTAAAAATTCCAATACATGGAGAGAGAGACCACCTTTTCCTTTGATAATTTCTTCCAGTGATTCAAGTTGCCCTTACTCAATCAGATTAAAAATTCCTTCACAGACTGTATTTTCTGTGCATTTRTCAAGGGGTAATGAGAATTAGTAGCAACATAAAGTTGTTTTATTCCTGATACTTGTTCCAAATTAGCACATGTCCTCAGGGGTTTTTATAATCTGGACAAAGTTCTTTCACTGCATGYTTTTTTCTTTAGTGCTTGCATTACTGGTTCAGCTCTTTTCCACATCTCTAGATTTTGAACATCCTTTTGTTTTCAAATGCAACACAGAGGCATTTTTATATCTTTGTTTCTCAGTCTCATACATAAAGTCAAGTCACCTTAATTGCTTCTTGACGATACTATTTTATTGTGTATACACCAAAAAAACTTGCATTTCCCCAGTTTTTCCACAGCGTTATAATGTCATCTTTTATTGAAGTCTTATATCTTTATCAGAGTCAGTGTCTTCACAATATCGTTGCTCTTACTTTAAGTGTAGCCTTTGTTCACTGTTCTCAGACTGAGAGTTTTGCATTTGGKTTTATTAAAATACTCTTGATTTGAATACCCAACCAAGTGGCCCAAAACATTGTTTCATCATCATTATTTATTTACTTTGTAAATGTTCATGAACATTTCTGGCTGTGTSCACCTGGTACCAAATTACTAAAGGATATGCTGAATAAGAGAATGCTAGTACTGATACCTGTGCAACCTTGCTAGTGTTGTGGTAGTGCTCAGTGACAAAAGCCYCTTGGAACAGGAGGGGTTTGTGGGTTCTTAACTTCCGGTACATTCAGGACACATTTAAGAAATTTTTTCTTGATGGTGTGTAGTGACTTTTTACCAATTTTTTATGTCTGACAAGTGAAAGCCTAAAATGTTGCTATACCATATCCACTTCTAATCTCACCCAAGAAGGAAATCAGATTTGTGTGGCAAGACCCATTTTACCAAGAACATGTTGACTGGGAGTAATTATAGTCTTTCATTCAAATCTGTTTTCACTTACATGGCCTAGCTTTAACCCCACTAGTTTTTGGTTGGTTTTTTGGAGTTTTTTTGTTGTTGCTGTTGTTGTTGTTGTTGGGGGGGGGTTTTTTTGTTTTTTTTTTTTTTTTTTTTTTTGCTACTGACCCATTATTAGCACTCTTCCAATCTGGGAATGTCATGGTATTTTAACAACTAAAGTGAAAATCATCTGAATCTGTAAATTTAAAACTTATTCGTCTATTAATCCTCAAATTATAATTAACTGGACGTGCTTATTCGTCCTACATAAACTGTGACTATACCATTCCGATTTTTCCAAGGACAGACCACATATATACTGAACACTCCTGGCTGTGGTTCTTTTTTTGTTGTTGGTTTTTTTTTTTTATCATAAGTTTATTTTATTTACTTTCTACATGAAAAAATAAGCTGTTTGCTTGGTTGTGAGGTAATTTTTTTTATAGCAACCCTTAAAGGACTCCCCATTTTTCTGTGACATTCTCCTATTCTTTTTTCTCTCAAGTACTTCAAATACATGTTTAAGTATTTCTGTGCATGTAAAGATTCTGGCTGCTTTTTCCCATGTGGAATTCAATCAGTTTATTATCACTTATCTCCAAGTAGATATCATATTCATTACAGTGATTGACATTTCTAGTTTTATAATGAGATTGTTTACCTCATGCTCATAAATAATATATGGTTTTTGGAAGTGTATAAAATTAGTTTATAATTGTTCACAAAGAACTCACAGAATATGTATCCTAAACTGGCAGTGTAGCATCATTCTTTTCCTTTCCAAAGATTATAAAAATGTGCTGGAAAAAAAAGCTTGATCCGTGCCCTAGTTAGCTGACCAGCAAGTCTTTCTTAAGTTATTTTAGTTAGCATATTGACCTCTACGTGTTCAAGAGCTGTGGTCCTGTGTTACTGATCATTCTAAAAGGAATAATGGCCTGGTGGGGGAGGGGGGTGTTAAGGCATCCTGTTTCCATTCTGCCTCGCTTATCCTTCCTGTTAATCAGAGACTTTAACATGCCAGTTGTCCACCAGATTTTAGTAATATTGGTTATATAAAATTTATTCCCATCAATGAGAGTTTCCTCTTGCTGCTTACCCAGATTCCTAGGATCAAAGCATAAAATAGTGAAGAGATTCTTTTCATTATATCCTTTGCCACATTGGTTCAACTTGCTCGTTMGGTGCTGAATTTGAGCATGTCCCTCATTTGCCTTCCAAATAATCTCCCCTTGTGTTGCTGATTTAATATCCTGGCTGCTCCAGCTAGTTTCCAACTGAGAAGATTAGCCTCCTACTTGTGTGGTGTAGGCTGTCCTGTTCATACAGTCCCTTCTTTCACTGATGTGCTGTTTCACGGATTGAAATCTGCCTGTTTTTTCAATCATGGATGACAGACTGAAAATGCTGGAAGTAAACTTTCTCACTTGTGATAACTATGGATAGCCRCTTACATTTTAATTGTCTTCTTTATTGTTTTCAGTGCAGTTGAAGCGTTCAGAAATTTCATCTGAGGTTGCTATGAAGGCAATATATAGCATTTATGTTCTGTCTGCCACACTGACTCCAGTTGCAGCTGTGAGTGCAGGGTACTTTGGCAGATTAGACACAAGGGATCTATCTTGCACGGGCATAAAATGGGTAACATGCTATGAATCTCTCTGAAAACTTTCAGTAAATTCATGCTACGGTGTTGTGACCAAAGGACAGATTCATTCCACAATTGCTGAGCAGCATTCAGCCACATTAAACATGAAGCGTATTTGCTCCCTTACTGCAGTCCCATCCCATTGTCTGCAACAAAAGAAACAGGAATAAACAGGTTACAGGCTCCTTCACTGGGCAGTGGTGATTCACGCCAAGGTATAGGTCCACTCCRTGCTACAATTGAAAAGATGTCTGCAAAAAAATGGCCATGCAGTTAAAAGTAGCATCGTGATGTGTATGTCCTGGTAACCCTACCTCTGGCATTTCCTAATTTCTCTGTACGTGACTTCATGGCCTTATCGATGTTCTGCCAAGGGGTTTGCTCACCCAGCTTTAGCTGCCACATGTCAGGGGTCCGTTTGCAGACAATATAAAGAGGGGGATATATCACCATGAGGCAKTTTGTCTGTTCTAAAGATAAATGCAGATGGAAGGTGAAATGATCTTTGGAAGTGCCTGGTTTACTTCAGGTGGTGGCAGGAAGGGGAGATAAATGGCATAATTTCTCCATGTGCAGTATTTGTGTGTATAATTATCTACACAGATCTCTGGTGAAATGTACACTCAAAGATGTGTTTGGGTGCGTGTGGCCTAAGATCTAGCTGTACATAATACTGTGTGCCTCCTCTATTTATAGCACTTCAAAATAAACCTTAAATCAGTCCCCAGGTGTGTTAGCATGGCATTTGAATAAGCTACTGAATTTGGATCAGGTCTTAATTTGCTGTCACCGATGAGCGGTAGTGTGCTCTGCATACAGCAGTGATACAGAGGTGACTCTGGTTGGTGAACAATTRCTCCTTCCACATCGAATGAGCCAAGAACTGCTTAAGGTGTCGGTTGTGAATGGGCTTCTGTTGGAAACTTGGTAAGGCATTAACAGTGAGAAGTTACATGACTTTGTTCTTTATAATGAAACAAAATAAAGATGTGTTCCCTGGAAATCAAGGGATGTGTTTCKTCTTGTCCTTCCTTTTGTTCTATCAGTTGCTAATGATCCCTACTTTTTTGGATTCATGCTTGGGAGATGAGGCTTATCTTGAGACAGATTCTCTGGTGTTGTCCTTCCATTTCTGGTTTGTAAAAACATTAAGTCATTACTTACCTTCTTAACAAAATGTTCTTCATAAAATTGAATTTCTAAAATGCATGTCAACATAGGAGACTTTTCTAATCAATATTCTTGATTTAATATTTTTTCCTTAGAAGCGTCACTTATTTTCTTCCTGTGGCATAACAACTGCAAAATGAGTGTATTACAATTATACTGGAGGAAAGGTTAAGAATTGTTAGTTTAAACTATTGTACTTTTGACAAATTTTGGGACAATTCCATTTTGTTGCAATAATGATTTAGCTCAGTGCAGTAATAATGATATAGCAAGATACTTGTATCATCAAATATACTTTGAATTTGTCAGTCAATGTTTACTTACTGTGGGCTTTTTACTGAGTTGTGAAGTTGTGAACTGCTGTAGGTGCCAGCAGTTAGTTTCAGTGTTTGTAGCACAAATACTTCAACCTAAATTCTCTAATTACAATAATGATGATACTTATAGCTACTAGGAGGCAATTATTCCTGATCATAATTCTCCAAAATATAATACAAGAAGGACTACAAAATATTCTTAAAAATACTATATACATATGAATATATATAAAATAAATTAAAATATATAAAATAATTTTTAAGAGAGTAGGGCAAGTAAAGAGGTTAGCTAGTAACTCTGTCAATGGAGTATTTACCTAGGGCTGAAAAGCCATTGTTGATTACAGACTCTGGCCTAGCAGTTCATCTAAGAGACTTATAAATTTTATTTTCTATAAAACAGCTTGTTTTCAGAGAAACTGGCAATCAAACTGCAGTCTGGCTGATGTTCAAGTAAGACTTTCTGTGGAAAGTTATATACCACCTAGATGCTGGATAAAGTTCTCAGAATTTTTCAGAATACCACAGTGCAGTAAATTAAAAAGAAAGCTAAGTTTTATAATATGTTGTATTTTAAATTTGTGTCTCACCGTGAGGCCTCAGCAGACAGCCCAAGTATTAAATAATGCTTCTTTGGCTGTAGAAGTATCATTTTCTCGAAGCCTGAAAAATTAATTAATCTTTGTAGGAAAGAAGAAGTTTATTAATTCTTGCCAACAGTCACAACTTATTAGTGACTAGACCAGAAAGAAACCCCTTGCCCCTACTCTGACAACTTGTGTTGATGTCAATGAAAACAGCTCTGGGCTCTGTGTAATTAAGTCCAGTGCAGTGCAAAGACTCCTGTGACATAATTTTGACAGTTAAAGTTCATCTTTAATTGTTTCCATTTCATAAGGTATCACTAACTCTTTACTAGGAAGATTTTATTTGATTAAAAAAACAAACAAACAAGCAAAAACAAACAAACAAAACCCCAAAAATACATTTAGTATTGATGGCACCTTCTTTGAGCAGCTACTGATATGTCACTAAGAGCTGGTGTGAATTAGTATTTTTTTCCCCTCAAGAGGTGGCGCACAGCTGSATTTCCATCTTTGAGAAATGGTGGGACTTCATTGTATCTTCACAGATCATGAACTGAGTCTGGCCACCAACTTCACTGACAGGATCTTTGGGTCTGAACTTTTGTGAGTCCAYTCTTTTGAAATATTTAGTTTTACTGACTGAGTTATTAATTTTGCTAACTCTGACACTTCAATTTAATTTAGAGTACATTTTTTGTAGAGAGCAGTTAAATTTTACCAGGTGCCAGGATTCTGGGCCAAAGGGCAAAGTAATATCGGTATAAATAAAATTCATAGGTTTTAAGATAAAAATCCGAATATGGTCATTATGGACTTTATTATGGAATACAGAAAAAGTGTGATTTGAGGAAACAAATCTTAATTTCTTTATATTTGACTTTAACTTGTAGTCTCAACAGTTTTTCTTGCTGCTTTGACCTCTGGCAGCAGTAGTGGTGCGTATTGAGATAGCAGTCCATTTCACCCGAGGCTGTTGATAATTTAGTCATCAGAAACAGTTTCTTCTAAACAGTGTCTCTAGGATGTAGTTCCTCCMTCCAAGGGGAGTGGTCTTTTGTTAGATTATGTAAATGAAGAAACTCATTCRTTACCAGTGTGTTGCTAATTCGTGCCTTAACCTGCAGAACCAGGAATTGCATGATTCTTTTCCTGCATACAGCAAACATGAGAAGCCGCTGTTCCTGCATTTGCTTTCGTTTCTGGGGAGAATTGAATGAAAGTAGATTCAAATCAGCAGGGGATTTGTTTGTCAAATTTTGCAAATCAGGCTGCAGAAAATGGAGTTTTACAAGCCCCATTCGGCAGTCCAAGATATCAAACTCGCTTCAGTTTTCAATATAACATTCATACCACTCTTTCAATCTTAATTTTGATTGATTACTTACCAGCAGAAGTTTATACTGAAATCTCTCCTTTGTCCTCTTTATCCCTTGCTCACCTTTTCATTCTTTCCATGTCAATTATTAACACTGTGACGTTACTTGTTGCTGCAGTAACTTTGTTTCAATGCAGCTGTTGCCAGGTGAATTTTCTTGAGGGCTTGATTGTCACATTTACAAAGATTTTATGAGATATCAGAAAAGTTTTTATTTGGTCAGCAGTCTTCAACTTTACATTCTCGGAGAACTGGCCTGTGCTCTCTCTAGATGTTTTATTTGGAAACAAAATACAGAGGGAAACACATTTTGCCGTGTCTCGTGGTTATATATGATAGGTTTTGTTAGCAAGGTAGATACCAAAAAATTTAAATATATTGGATTCAGTTCACTGGGACAGATTTGCTGTGGCCCTGGTGCWGAGGAGGTTCACAATGGCTCAGCAGACCGAATGTGTTCGATTCATGTGTTAATTCAGATCTTAGGTCTGTTTTTTGGCTGGGAAGTGTTGCTGTAGTTAGGTGGTGAATCKAAGCTGTGTGTTACCAGGCTGTGACTGTTGCAAGACTCGGGACCAAAGTCCAGGTGCTTTCAGCTCCTGTCAGGGTGCCAGTGGCCACACAGTACACGCCCTCAGGTGCTTTTGTGCTCTCACAGTAGGGGCTGGTGGTTAATCCTGCCGAGATACACTTCCAATTGTGACCAGCTCAGAGGCCTGAACTGGCCATCCCAGCTGGAGGATTTAGGCAGCAGAGGCCCTTGCTGAGTACATGCAGTTTGAAAACTTCCCACAGCATGTGTTGGCTGAGGTGAATCAATTTTCACCACTGTTTTCTTCCATAAGACTTCAACTTCCTGCTTGCTTTGTGGTAGTTTCTGCCATGGAAATCCATATGGAGCACCAGCTCTGAGGAATTTCCCAGTTCTATCTTGAATTATGTCCACACTGGACAGACAGAAACCTTTCTTCAGATCTCTCACTTTGCAGAGGAGCTCTGTCATTGCTCAAATTAGCTCTTCGTTGGTGCAGTCTAAACTGCATTGGTAGACCAAAGCAGAGTGAGACCAAAACTTTCCTCTGTCCACAATCCATTCCACCCCCACACCAAGTCCTTCATGGATGACAAACAAAGGCAAAGAGCCAAATTTTGCTTTCCAGGGGAAAACCCAGTGCAACAGCTTAAAAGTTCTGCAAAAGTGGAGAGAAGAAGMTGGAGAAAATGAAAAGCAAGAGCAAAGCTATTGCTTAAAACATTCCTTCTTTCCTTTTCTCATTATTTTCAGCATTCTTCCAAAAGTAGAAAACTAACTCAAGTTCTCTGTTTCTTTCATAGTGTGTAGTGGATTCCTGTTGACAGATGGGAGTATATGTGTAGAAGGATCCATGTCGATTTTCTTGCTATAATGACATGGCCTTTTCTTTTGAATCTGAAGTGGAAATAGAGAAGTACAGTGTTTTGATTTAACCCAAAATAAAAAATAGTGTTTACTGCAGTGTATCTTTCTTAAAACATAGCTACCATGAGAGAATGATATATTTTTACTCATCCCTGCTACTGAAAAATCTGGCTGGTTAATTTCTTCACAAGTCCCTTAAAATGTTGGTAGCTCCTGTTAATTGCCCCAGTGCCCACTGATGATCCCAGAACTGATTGTCAAGCTTCCTTACTTAAAGCTCAGAGAACAAGCTGCTTATGATGACCCAACAGAGACATAAGGGAGGTCTATGAAAGGCAGAGTATTCAGCCAGCCTTAATCCCTGCTTTCAGTAAGGCAGTGTCTTTAAGTACAGACTAATTAGTGAATAGACATGGTTGTAGGTTCTTGTAGACATATCTTTTGTTGGCTTGAGATGAACCGAGCAGCTAATAGAAATGGTTTAAAATCTCTGCTTTGCTTTTCTTTTAATGCATTTAATAGTGTATCAGGATGAGAAAATATAAATCAAAGCAGGAGCAAAAGTAAACTATCTGACTACCTATGTTGGTATATTCCATTTAGATATTGTACCCATTTAGAAGTTAGGACTTATGCTTATTGGTTCCCATGCCTGTTGTTCTTAAATAACTATTCATTTTATAACCTTTGACGTATATCAATGCAAGAAAAGCACACGCGTTTTTTTGCTGTTACAGTAATGTATTATGCAAGCATTACATTGCATTTAAATAGTGTGTTAAAGTCATCAATCATAAAGTGATCAATCAAGATAAACACAGTTCCACCATTTTAGTGCTAGGGAAACTTAATTCCAAGAAGTGAAGTGAATTTCCTTAGGATTTGATTACATGCCTGAGACTAGAATCTGACTCTCTAGAGGGATGCCCCCCCCCCCCACCCCCTTTAATCGTTTCTTTATTACATATTGTATAATAAAATTTCCCAACAGGTAGGAATAGCCATCTGCACATTCCAAAGTCATTTATGGTAAAATTGAATGTTAAGAAAGGAATAGGGCAAACTGAATGAATGATGACTGACATCTAGTCATAGTCACCTGAAAGAGAAAGCATTTCATAAAGATCAGCAAGACATTAAAAATAAGTAAGAGGCTTAAAAAATAGAAAAATTGTGGTGTTTAGGGKTTTTTTTCCTGATTATATTTCCCCTAATATTTGCATTTTGCATGACCTTGACACAATGCAGATAGGAAGCAGACATAGCAACTTACTGTTCTGCTCATTTTCTAGAATAAACCGTATATTCCAGTAATATTCAATAACAGTAYCTTGGTTATTGAAACTCATAACCTTTTTGCTGCCTTTATCACCTGTATTATCCATAGGAGATAATTACTGCAAAGCAGCTGGCTGTTGATTTTAGAGAGCATCAATTGTTCTCCTGTCCCAGCTGTTGGCTAATAAGGACAGTCAACACATCTGTTTCAACAGCTGGTAATTAACAAAAGCCTAATTGCTGCAACTCTTTTAACAACAGATCTATGAAAGAGAAGGGATGTGGAGGAATATTATTTACTCTGTTCTCGGCACTTTCTGTGACCRGTTTCTTTTTTCTTTTTCTACTTTGAACACCACTGCCTTTGTCTGACACACTGAATGGCAGGACAACACAATATGGTAATCCAGAGCTTAAGTTTTTCAGATCTTTGGTGCTGTTTCTTATTGCAACATTTCTTTGCTAAGTTGCAAGATAAAATGGATCAAAAGCATTTTGTGGAGTCTCATACAACAGCGATAATCGACTGCAGTATGCTTACGCAATAGGGCTCCCAATCCAGCAGCCTCCAAAAGAAAGTAATGGATGAGTTTAATAGCTCTGCACTTCTTCCCCAAAAAATCTGTCATCATTCTGAAAGTAGTAGTTATTTGAGAAATTTTTACTGCTCTTCAGATGCTTTGCAAAATTTGTTGTACAGATGGTGTTTTTTCCTTCCTCTGATGAAAAACACWTATGTGGGTTAGTTTAAAAGTAAATGCCAAGTAGCACCTTGCACTGCAGAAATATCCTACAGTTTTATCATTACAGAACTGGAGAGGCTTCTGCACAATGGTTGTCTAAAGATCTACATTTATAGTATCAGTCGACAAAYAGTAATTCAAGGACGTTTCATGTAATTAGACTTATCCTTGGGTACAGCACACGTGTAATTGGAATACTCGTCACTAAACAGAGAGAATGCATGTATACAAATACAGGGAAATGTTAATCCCATTGAAGTCAACAGTGAACTTCT